TTAGATCAGCTCAGAGGTTATTTCAGGGTCTATCTGTGAGTTAGCTGTGCCCTGAATTAGTTCAGCCCAAAGGTTGTTTCAGGCTGTGAGTTAGCTGTGACCTGAATTTGATCAGCCCAGAGGTTGTTTCAGAAAATGGCGGGTGGAGGGCGGGTCACAAAAATATGACTATTCATGGTCGAAGTATAGTCTAGTCCTTTTTACTAGTGCCCTGCCCGAGGTGAAATAAGTAAATATACAAGTATACAATGCTTTTTTTTTATTAAATCCTTAACTTAAACCCTTGCCTAGTAAATGATTAGAAAAATAAAATAAAAAAACACTTAAAAATAAAACAACAATATGAAATTTAAGAAATTTTGCTAGCTTAACAATCTACATATTAACGTGATGGCAGCCATGACAAGAAATTCGGCTTCTCATGTATTGTATACAATACACGATTGTATTGTTCCTGTCATCTTACATGGTTTGGCCTTTAACGACAGAAACTCTGTCCAGGGCCGATTGAAATTATCCTAAGATTATCTTAATTAAGTGGAAGTTTCTTAAGTGCGTTTTTTCCTTGAGTCGATCCATTTGTTCCTGTATTGTCTAGTGTTCTTGGCTCATTCGTGTATTTCGTTTTCCTCTGTGTAGTAAAATATTAAGTAAATATTTCATTTATTAGCTTTTCCCCATGAGGGCAGGGACACCACAACAGCTTTTATGCCAATTACAGTGGGCCCTGTAGAGTTTTAGCACGGGCACTGAAGATGGTCGTCACCAGCGTCTTCAGTGGATCTTTTGCGTCCGCCTTATACAGGGTTATATAGTGAAAACAGACGGGGCCTACGGTTTTAAGTCCTTGTCCGAGAAGACTTTAAGGTCTAACCATTTGCAGATGTAACTACAAAGGCAGCACCTTTTCCTCAGTTATTTTAAGACCCTGAGTGTTGGTCCGGCCGAGGTTTGAACCGTGACCTCCCGCACAACAGACCGACGCTCTTACCAACTGAGCTAATTGGGTTGCCGTTAAATAGCCTTGTTTGAAGCCCTTAATTTTCAACTAAACTAGAAATGTTAGGAGATAGGTTGGGCTCTAAAACTGCTCGCTGGCGCCTAAAAGACCGAGATGGGAGATTCATGTATGTTCACTAATAATGGGCTCCTGATCTGGGAATATGCTGGCTCACAGACCGTCCAGCATGAGAGATGGATGGTGCTAGTAATTGGTTCCCGATTTGAGGATATGTAATACAGTATTTCATTTTCATATACCTGGTATTTCTTCAAGTCGTTTCATCAGAATTTGCGCTTGTTCGCGCACGTGGCCCACATTTTTCAGCAGGATGACCTTCCTTGGATCATTGGATTCCTTGATGGCACCAGCCTTTAACTCCAATTGTCCCAACATCGACGTGACTTCTCCTGAAAAGATGACCAAAAAGTCAATACCCGACGCTTGCTATTACGGACACCAAGTGCGTCCCGAGGGTGTTCGCTGTAACAAGAGTTGACTGTTGCGGGAATTGAATTACGGTCCATTATTTTTGCCGGGGATTTTTCTCCAGTCCGTAATAGCAAGGTGTCCGTAATATCAGGGGTTCCACTGCAGCCATGATTTCCCTATTTTTAAATATAACTTAGAGTTCATGGACGCGCATGCGCACCTTTATATTAACGTCTCAGCAAACTGTTTTCTTCCAGTCACAAATAATGAAAACCGCCGCGTGCGTTTGTGAATCTTTCAGGAATAGGAGAAGGGTAATGGCTTCATTATTAAGTCTCTTAAATTGAAGGCCAAAATTTGTTCATATTGTCAACTGTTGGGTCACTCGATCTCTCAGTGAAAATAAAGTTGATTATTATTTTTATTATTATCATCATCATCATCATTATTATCATCATTACTATTATTATTATTATTATTATTATTATATACTAATATAAAACCGCTACGATTAGTTGCTACTATTTGCCAGTCAGCGGTGTATAATTTAATGTAAATTTTACTTTATTTGAATAAACTTTAACTTGAATATACTTACTCTTGTACTGTCTGATACCATTACTCGAAATTCCTGCTTTGATTCCATCTTTAATCTGCAATAAAAGGGATAACCCAACATCACTAACATGTAAGTTTATAACATAACTGCCATAATCGTTATGTCAATGCGCCAACCAAGTTAACAATAGGTTTTTGTCACTTTGCTTTGTTATGTTGTCCAATAGATTTCTGGTGGTCCAATAGATTTCTGGTGGCAAATTTGAATAACGATTAACCAATTTGCAAAAAAAAAAAAAAAAAAAAAATTCGTTATCGTACGTCACCTACAGCCCCATTACAGCACAATTTGGAGGACATAACAATAGGTTTCCAATTCTCATAATATGAAATTCTTTTATTTTGTCCTGCAAATTAAGTCGTGTTTTATTTTTTTAAGTCTAGAGAAACTTTTGCACATGCATTTTAGCATTTTCCGTCAATACAAGCAGAGCGTTTAAAAATGTAATGCGTTAAAGTAAATTGGAAAAATTGTCCTCAATATGAACATACCCCATCCAACAGAGTCGTGAGGCCTTTGAGTATTTTGAGCAGAATCCTATGAAGAAAAAAGGTTTTTGGTTTAGAGAAACAAATCTTAGTTGTTCAAGATGTGTCCAGTGTGCGTTCAAAAACTAAAATTTTAAATAAAAAAAATAAATAAATAAATAAATAAAAAAAATAAAATAAAATAAAAACCCAGCTAAAACACACACACACACACAAAAACACATTTGTCATTCAAAGGCCTACAGCATTACTTTATCTACCAATATGGATTGTGCAGGATACCAGCTTGTCTGGTGTCTACTAAATATAGGGAATCCGCTAGTATATTGATATTATATTGTCGTTCGCGTAGGTTCCCTGTGGTTTTAAAGGTTTTGGGCTTCCTTTGTCAAAGGCCAGGTTTCAAAGCTTAATTCAAGATGGTGGAGTGTTTCTTCGCTATAATGTCAGCAAGTTTTGATCATATCTTCGACATTTTGAAGCTTTAAATGGCGGGAAAATCATTGTCAAAGGGAAATCTGTGTTCACTTCCAAATACGGTAAGCTTAGCAAATATAGATATGGAGTTGATGGCACGAATGAGAAGGAGTGTGCTTGATAAAGGTACCACTGTATTGCAAATATGTATGATAACAACGACATCAACAACAAGAAATGAGGATCGAAAAAGGAAAACGGTACAGTCAAAGTAAAAGAGAATTTCATGTTTTTGTTCTGTACCTCAAATCAAATCTTGAGGGACGTCTAGCTGTAAAGGAAATAAATAATTATAGTAGATGAGGAATTTTGCTATAAAAATACAATTGCCACTACCATAACTATCATAATAACGATTATCACTGATAATTTAAGATCGTAATCATCATTAATATTAGAGTGAAGTCACTAAACCCGTGAAATATATACTAGACTAAGTAGACCCTAATTCCATTGTTTTCTTTCGTGTCTATTTGACTATTACACGTTGACTATTATATTTTGTTTCTCGAGTTAAATGTCTTCACTCTACCATCGACTATAATTTATTACTATTAGGTATTTTTGTGCTTGGTAAGACCATTATTATCATCAATGCGGCATATCGAATTCACGGAATCAACGGAATCAACGGAATCTCTTTGAAACATATGGAAGTCAAACATCATTAAAATAAAGACAAATCAAATCAAAAGAAAAAGTTAAGAACTTCGTGCTCGGTCGTCCTCTAAGAAAAAAATTATATAAAACGACTCGATCGGAAACCCTATTATTAATATTATTATGATTTATCTACATAGAATGATTACCCAGGAAACAATGACATGTCAAAAACATAACTTTAGTCCAAATCATAGCTAACCTTGAAAGAATCTGTTCATGAATCCAGCAAAACATTGCACATTTTYCCATCGTTTTATGACAAGTTGGACGCCATTTTGTAAGCACAGGTAGCCCAATTTTCAAACACAGGAAGCCCATAGACATAAAGAAGAATTGGGCTACCTGTGCTTACAAAATG